CTGTTGAAAAAGTAAGGTGCCCGGTAGAGTGAAGAGACCGTCCTAAAAGTTCTTTTTTAACAAAACACAGAGGAAAGCAGTACTTTTCAAAATCATCATAGACGGTGCATAGACTATGGATAAGTCTCCATCTTTAAAAAATATATATTTTTTTCCCTTATACTTATAAGGACCTCAGAGGTCGTTTTGTCATGACACATTTTAGCTATAAACAAATTACTACGCAACCAAGAAATAATTTGAAATACGCTCCAAAATAATTTGAAAATTATATTTTACTACCTCTAGGAATAATTCAAGTTAAGAAACAGCAAAAGTATACCTTCATTGCTAAAATCCTAAATGATCTATCCTTACTTAGTGGCAGAAGAGGAGTCTGTGTAATGTTAATTGGTCAGGCATATAAGTGGTAAGATCCTAATGTAATGCCGGTCATCTCAGGAATTAAAAAAATAATGCCAGAAGCCTTTCTTAGATGATCAAATGCTTCCAGAATAACACTGATTTTTCAAAGAAATATTCTTTGGGCATGAAATTTTTTCTTTAATAAGCCAGGAAATTTGATTTTGAATATTTAAACACCAAAATATTGCCCATAGTAATATATATTACTACAATATACACTGGAAAATATTCTTATGAGTGACAGGAAAGAAAGAAGGGCTAATTGCAGCAGTATACTTGAGGGAATATTTATCTTAAAATTAATTGACTCAAAAGCAAAGACAAACATCAAAAGAGTTACTTAATACTTTATCAGACTGAAAAAGAAAACCGAGCAGAGTTGGAAAGTCATAGCATTTGAGTATCTGCTTATTTTTCTATTCACAATTTTCTCAACTGACTTTAATCCCTCTTGCAAAGGTGACTCTGAATAACCCCTTTTATTACTGTAATAGGGGAGGCTTGAAATGGAAACTTGAAATTGAAAACTTACTTTTAAGATTCATGAGATTTGAAAGGCTTTTTGTTTGTTTTTTACTCTAAGGAATTTTAAAAATATCTTTATCTTAGAGAATGCAGGGATAGATCAATTCATTATAAGCAAACATAATGTAAATCCAAATTTGTCTACAATACTGCTCTATATACATATACCTACACAAAGATGTATACGTATACGTATGCATACACACGCATGTACCCTATTTTGTGAAAATCTAGAGTCGAGGGTAAATAAAGTATGGGGTAGGCTTGTATCATCGAAGTTTATAATTCAGGCAACAGGGAGAAGGGCTCAGACATTGGCTGCACTTCTTCATTGTCTCCATCTTAACAGGGACTGCGCTATAGGGACAGCCCATGGACCATGTCAGCCCAGTGGTCTCTGCTGTGGGAAAACCCAGATGTCCTCCCCCCCAAAATACTTCATCCTGAACTTACATGAGTTCCTGACTTATTAATAATATTTTATTATCTAATAATTTATCTAAACCATTCTTAAATCTGTTTCTATTTCTAAACACTTTCCCTTCTTGAGGAATCAGATTTAAAACCTAATTACCTAACAAATCAGGCTTCCTCTCTGTTGTGACAGTACAGCCATGACAGTCAAAACTCCACTAGGTCCCCAACTAGGGAAATTTTATCTTCATAATCTCATGGTGTCTAGTGTATCTTGCACGTAAGAAATTCATAATTAATGTATGCTAACTGAATACCCTGCAAATTGGTTAGAAAAGGTCCATCTTTGCTTTATCTGCATCTTTGCCTACTGTAGAAGATATTTGTAGTTTTTTCTCCTACATTTTCCCTTCATAGTTTCTACCAAATAAAAGATGCTACATTAGTTGAATTTGATTATATATCATGCAATCTCATCAAACTCCAAGGTCTTTTTGTAACATGAATTTCCACAAAAATAGGTAATATCAAAATGTTTTGGGAAAAAATCACATGCTGATAAAGAAGAGTTCAAAATTAAATTATAGAATAATTGTATCAAATCATTCATTAAATATCAATTATTCCAAGTTTGAAATATCAATTTTGGGACATAAATATATTTCATAAAATGCTTCATAAATACATATGCCCTTCAGGGAAAATCCAAAAATTAACAATGATGTAAAAGGAAAAATAGAAATTAAACTGAAGATTACTTCTCTTTAAAGACTATTTTCACATTTACATATTCAAGTTGTTCCAAACATACTTGTTTTTTTTTTCAATTCCAGTATAATTAACATACAGTATTATATTAGTTTTAGGTGTATAATATGATTCAACAATTCTATACATTACTCAGTGCACATCATGATAAGTGTGCTCTTTATCACCTTCACTTATTTTACCCATCCCACCTACTTCTCTTCTGGTAACCATGAGTTTGTTCTCTATAGTTAAGAGTCTGCTCTTTTGTTTGTGAAGACTAAATTTTTGAAGGGACATTTAAATGACTTGAAATATGTAAAAAATAATATTCATTAAGTGAATAAAAATCTCCTGTTTCATTCATAAAATGATTCCAGCTAGTTTAAAGATATTTTTCAATGTATGAATAAAATATTATTTCTAAGCAGTAGAGGATTTTAAAACGTAATCTGGAAAAATATGTATATATATATATATATATAGCTTTAGTGGTTTTTTAAAAAAAGATGTATTTATTTATTTGAGTGAGAGAGTGTGAGTAGAGGGAGGGACAGAGGGAGAAAGAGAGAGAGAGAGAATCTCAAGCAGACTCCCTACTGAACATGGAGCCCTATATGGGGCTCGATCTCACAACCCTGAGATCATGGCCCTGAGATCACCTGAGCCGAAACCAAGAGTCAGATGCTCAACCAACTAAGCCACCCAGGTGCCCCTAACGTGTTTTGACAGAGCTACTCAATCTCCATGTTTGTAGTTTTGAATCATTTGGAAAATAATGCAAGTTCTGATACAGTAATCTATACATGTAGGTTCTATTAAGTTAAGTCTATTAAGTTAAATCAGTCACTTTCTGTGATTAGGCTTCACGTGTATGCCATAACATGGTATATTTTTTTAACTGAGTAGGATTTTATGATATAATGGATTAATAAAAAAATCTATAAATTAATATCTATAAATTATAAAGTATCTGCTGATACTGCATAAAGCTAAAAGTAATTTTTTCATAGGTCAGAATTTTTGAAAGGTACATGCATTTTCCCGATGGGTTCATTCATTTTTCTCCCAGTTGTTAGTTTACTGTTTACTTCCTTAACAAAGCTAGTGAAATGTTTTCATAACCATATCTGTTCAAGAACTATTTGTTTGAACAGATTTGGCCAAAGGTGCACAAGGAGGGTAATTCACGAACAGTATAATACCATTTTGTTGAAAGCTTCATTTATTTGATTTGAACTTTCTAGCTGCCTTCGAAAAAAGAATAGAAACAATCTGACTAGATATTTACTGAGAGACAGTTCAGAGGCTCTGTGTTTAATTTTTATTGACAATTTCAGGAAAATTGTTAGTCTGAACTAAATAAGTAAATAGATGATGCCTAGAAAGCCTGTTCTCCAAACCCACAGCAACTGAAAAAGAAATCAGCAAAAAAGCAATCCAAAGGCCAAGGGAAATTCTCCCTAGGCTTCCCATCCAAGAGCCTGCATGAGAAATTATAGTTATTTTTATTGCCAGGTTAGTTTAGGTGACAATGTTTAGTTTGGCCTAATTTGTGAGTTATTGGGTTATGTGATACACTGGGGAGCACACTACAATCTTCCTAACCACTCCAGCCTCTTGATAACTCATTTCTTAGAATATATTTACAATAGACTAAAAAGAAAAATGGGGATTTTTTTCCAAATTAATAAAATCCCATGTGGTCAGCTAAGGGTATATATATATATATATATATATATATATATATATATATATATATATATATATATATATATATAGTGTTCCCTATTAAAATTCTGTATTCCAGCAATTTACATTACATACATTATTCTACAGCAAAAGCATCCAGAAAATTTGGTCAATTATCTGAAAAATGTACATCAAATACTGACCAAATTGACTCAATTAGCCGTGGTGTGTGGACTTTGAAGATGAGCACCGGGCAATGATGATCATTACCCTTCTAAACAATGTCTAAATTTGAGCATGTTTTAGCAACAGAAGATAGAACATAGGCAAATCATACTGATTTTTTAAATAAACCACACACTTTCCTATAATTTGTAATACTGGTCCAAGAGAAGAGAATGATGCAATTCAGAAGGAAAATGAAGGACTGGCATTGGTTTCTAATCTCCCAGGACCCTCTAAGCCTTTATTAGGAATCATCATAACTGGGCGCCTGGGTGGCTCAGTTGGTTGGGCATCTGCCTTCGGCTCGGGTCATGATCCCGGGGTCCTGGGATCGAGTCCCGCATCGGGCTCCCTGCTCAGCAGGGATTCTGCTTCTCCCTCTGACCCTCCTCCCTCTCATGCTCTCTGTCTCTCATTCTCTCTCGCAAATAAATAAATAAAATCTTTAAAAAAAAAAAAAAAAAAGGAATCATCATAACTCCCTTTCCACCTCTCTCCCAAATCTAAGTACTGCTGCTCACCAGATTTAAATGCCTTCAATATATAGACATTTAAAAAATATCAACTACATCTAAGCCAAGAAAGACTGTACTTTTTAAGTTTAATGTTGAATCAAGGACAGCAGTTCTTTCAGGAAGTATGATAAAGTGAAATGGATTTCTTCAGGATGGCAACTGCCATCACATTTTGATGAGGAGATAAGTGATGTATTGTTAAGAGGAGACAAATGATAGCTTGGTCAGGGTAACACTCTGGACTACCCTGTGTTTCTTAAGGAGCCAAGGCTCTTCGAACATCACTATTCACATCTCTTTCCATGGTTTGATATTAGTAACAGGCATATTGATTTGACTAATATTTCACAAAAATAACCATGTGACATTTTAATGACTACTTAGAGAATATGGCCACTGTCTAGTGTTGTTGGGGAAAAGTTCCATATAAACTATACAGACCAAGGGCGTGTGGGTGGCTCAGTTGGTTGAGCGTCA